ATCTTCCACAGCACATAGAGATGCCTTGGTTAGAGCATGGAGTCAGATTGGGGTTGAGACATCTACTACGCCAGACAGGCTGGTTCACATGATTACTGCGGACAGAGCTACGTGCATAACATTTGATGATGATGATCTCCCGCCATAGGGGGCAGACCATATGCAGGCATTGTATATTTCAGTTGGTTGTTCAGGGCATGTAGTCCCATTTGTCTTACTGGACAACGGGTCAGCTCTGAATCTTTGTCCGTTGGCGACTGCAATAGCTAGGGGATTTGGATTGGTTTGAGGCCGGCCCTTACCTACCTTCCTGTGAGGACTTGGGAATACCTCCTGTTACAGGCCGACTAGGTTGTTCCCTAGAGGGAGCTGGCAAGAGGAGGATATTCGCCATAGGGAACTATGTGAACCAACGGTTACTCAACCCGGTTCATGTGTGGCTGGCCTCGGTTTTGAAGTCCCTCCCAATGGATGGGACATATGACCAGACCCGTCCACTGTACCGGTTGAGGGGTGCAAAGGATGCCTACTCATATGACCTGACGGCCGCCACGGGGCCGCTCGTCATTATGTTTGAGGTGTTCCAGTACCTATTTGATCGGTCCTTCTTTGCTTCCTCCATAGTAAATTCTTGTCTTGCCACCATCCTTGTGCCATTTGTTAAACGAAAATGGTCACAGGTCTCGTTTGTGGCGGGCCAACCCTTGGGTTATCTCTCTTCTTGGCCTTTGTTTGCCTTCTCACACCATGGTCTGGTTGGCAGCCGAGAAGGTATACCCCGGTCGAAGGTTCGATCAGTATGCAATACTAGGAGATGATGTTGTCATCACCGATACCCGAGTAGCACAGGTCTACGCCTATATTCTAGATGAGTTGGGGGTGAAAATTTCAACCTCCAAATCACTAATCTCTAATACAGGTTGTATGGACCAAGCGATTCTTGGTCGGGTCGGCTCAATTACATCGACCCTGTGTCCATGCGTTGTCTCCAGAATGACTACCACCCTAATGGACTATTTATCATTCACAAGGAGAGCAAAGTGAGTCTCGACTGAAAGGTACAAACGAAGCGAAGCGCAGTGAAGTCAACTTCGGAAGAGGAATGTTGAACCGGAGAGGAAAGACCTTTTTTGTCTTAATCAGTAAATGATCCAGGAAAGGAATCGAGACTCTATTCATTATCTAACATAGTTCGCCTTCCGCCCTGTCAATCGGGAGGACTCAGACTCCTACCGCGGGACGTAGCCTCACAATAGCCGGACCGTTTGGTTTACGGCCCGCGCAGCTGGAGAGGCAGACGGATAGGCACAAGTCTTATCTTATTTATAGTTGTTATATCCACCACCCAGGGCATTATACTCTCGCATCGAGGAATCGTAGAGGGAAAGATCGCTGCTTTCCAACCAATGGGTGAGCCCTCCCACGGGATGAGAACGAACGATGGATTGGGGGAATGGAAAGACTTATTGGTTGGGTTTCAAGATATCCTACAGGGGATTTGAAACATTGCCTCCCTTAGTGTCCGGCGTCTTGTCGCCTCGAGTGGATTATAATCTTGCTAGTGCGCTTCGTTTTCACACCTTCCCTACCCCTTACGGCAGCTCGCGGCTTACTCACAGGGCACATGCGGCCGGTTTTCACGGTTGCGTCAGGACTGCCAACAACGGAGCATACGATTAACTGGACTTTTTCACCAATGTCCACCCAAGGTGTTCTCGAACACTACTGTAAGTCATAGCTCGATACCATCTTCTTTCTTTTCTTTTCAAACAAGAGAGGCCCTCGGACATTCAGCTACCCTTTAGGGTCAGCGTCCGCAGGGAGGGCACCGAACGATACCTTATTTGGGGCAATCTTACCTGAAAGCCTGGAGCGAAGTTCAGTCATAAGTATTGGCGAAGACAAGTTCAGTCCCGGTGTAATTGAGTTGATGCAGA